AGTTACGGTGTCAAGAGCGAACACTAGGGGTGGAATGATTTATTCAAGAGAATAGCCCCTTATATACACACTCTCTCACTATCATGCCATTCCTCTTGATCCCTCTTCATTCCTTCCTCTCTCACGTTCACTCATCCCCTCACACCTCCCCCTAGTGACCTTACGGTCACTCATCATAGGAGGTCTACCGTGTTGACTCTTAGTACACGACAAAACACTTGAACCAAAACTCATTTATTCATCGATTTATTGCCCAACCCCCGAGGGTTGAGCGGCCCCCGCGTCTTCATCGCTATGCCCGCTACTAGAGCGGCTGCGATTCAGACGCCTCGGGGTCTCTCGGCCGCGATAGTTCGGGCGGCCACGGTGGCTTCCGCTTCGCCTAGAGCGGCTAGCTCGGCTTCGACTAGAGCGGCGGGCCCGGCTTCGACTTCTGCTCCTGGAGTGACTTCTAGGGGATCGACTTCGCCTCGAGCGACCGGACCGGCTTCGACTCCTGCTCCTCGAACGGCTTCGGGTGGATCGGCTGCAACTGACTGCTTCCTTGAGTCTCCGGATTGCCGCCCACAGCGGTTTATTGCGCTGTGGACGGCGTTTGCCTCCACGTGATCTCGGTGGCGCCGACGGCGGTGCCACGCACGGCACGACCGTTGGCCACCCCGCCACCGGCGGTGTCTGGACAGCTGGGGCCGCTTGTGGCCCGGCGATCAGAATCACTGGCGGCACGGCTTGCGGGGCTTGTCCCGCCACTCCTGGGATCGTTCCTTGAGCTGGGACGGGGACGGCAAACATAATTGAGGGTCCATACTCCTCAGAGCCCCTTTTATAGGGCCTCGAGTGATCTCGTTTGTTTTTGTTTTCCTCTTTCCCTGCTATCCGTATCACATTTATCTTCCTCCGCTTCCTATTTTCCAAGAAGTCCTCTCATCTTCTCGGTTGCTTGCCGCTTCCTGCGCGAGCGACGCAACCCTGCCTGCTCTGCGGGTTCCGCCCTATCCTGCCTGCTCGGTGAGTTTTTTCTCTACTTCGCCTGGGGATATTTCCATCCATCTTCCTTAACAAATTATCGTCTACTGCTTCCCAAGGGATCACCCTCGCTTTTATCCTCGTATCTATGGTATAATACGGCTCCAATACCATATTCTGAAGCATCGGTAGCTAATACTACCGGAACATCCGGATTATAATGTGCTAATGTATCCGCAGCTGAATATATTTTCTCCTCTGCACGCCGCACCATTCAGGCCCCCTTTCTCCGTAGGCTGTTTAATGGCGCTGCCAACGTTGCCAGCCTCGGAATAAATTTGCCGTAATATTGCACCATGCCTAGATAGGATTCTAACACTTTAGGTTCTTAGGCTCTGGCATGTTCAATATCGCCTTTAGTTTATTCGGAGATGGCCTGATGCCCTTCTCATCGACCACATGGCCTAAAAACTCCATCTCCTCCTTGAAAAACTCGCATTTTCTCTCTTTTGAGGCGAAACCCTGCCTCATTTAATCTATTCAAGACTTTTTCTAGCCTTTCCAAATGCGTTCCATCATCTGGACCTGTAACTGTAATATCGTCCAGATAAATCAGCACTCCTTCTATTCCTACCAGCGTCTCCTTCCATTATCCGCTGGAATATTGCTGGTGCTGACGCAATTCCAAACGGGATCCGCGTATACTGGAATAGCCCTTTATGCGTATTAATAGTCGTATATTTCCTTGAGCTTTCCTCCAGCTCTACCTGCATATACGCATCTGAAGGTCCACCTTTGAAAACTTCTTGCCACCATGCAACATATGGAATAAAGTCATCTGGTTTAGGCAACGGGTACTGATTTATATCTAAGCTGCGGGTTTACTGTGACCTTATAATCGCCACATATTCCTTATTTTCCCGCCTGGTTTGGGCACAACTACTAGCGGCGTGGCCCACTTGCTATGCTCTACCTCTCTTTATGGTTCCGTTCCGAACCATTTCTTCCAACTTAGCCTTCAACTTTAGGCCTCAACGCAATAGGAACTGGTCTGGCTCTGAAAAACCTAGGCACAACTACTCATTTTTAAATTTGAGCTCAGCTCGTGAGGTTGTGCACTTGCCCAAACCATCTTGGAATAACCTCTTATTATTATTCAGTATACGCACTAACTCCTTTTTGATTGCTACTTTGGGCATCTGTACAACGCTGTGAACCATCTCATAGTGTGGTCCACAGTCAATCTGCAACTTCCTTATCATGTCTCTCCCACACAAGGAGTGGCTCGCCTCCCTGAAGACATGTACATCTATAACCGCCTCTTTCCCGGCGAACTTGAAATATAGTGGAACTTTGCCTTGAAACATAATCCGCTTGTTATCAAATGCCGTTGCCGCTACCTCCGCCTTCTGCAACTGCGGTCGGCCTAGCTTATGCCAAGTCTTCTCGTCGATAATGGATAAGGATGCGCCGGTATCCAACTCGAATGGAATCCTTTCCCCATTCACTTCCATATCTAACATTCGCGGTGGCTCATCTGCCAACCGGTCTATTCCGCCTCGAACGGGCGTATCCCTAGCTACCATTCCATTATCAGAATGTCGCTCATTTTCACTGGTAGCGTTTGTGCTAGCGGCTTCCACCATCCGTATACCGCTGCGCGCCCTTTCTCCACCATCGGCGCGGTCTACCATCACGGCTCTTCTCGAACAGGATCGACGCACCGGACTCTTGTCAGCTCTACGACAGTGGGTAGAGCGTGACTTTACAACCATGTTCACGCTCTGACTTACCAGTTCCTCACCACTGTCGGAGCTTCCGGCGGGCTCCTCACACCAGTGAACCTGGCGGGAGACTTTACGGCCTACTCTAGCATTCTTCCAACATGTCGCTGCTAGGTGGCCCTTTTTTCTTGCATACTTTACAGTATGCCGTTTGCTTCCTGAAACACTCATAACCGGCATGGCCTGACGCCCCGCAAACCCTACACTTGAACGCCTTCCGAGCTGGGCCCTGGCTCGGTTTCCGCTTTTGCTCACTCGTTTGCGCGCGCCAAGCCGGTTGCCGGTTACGCATTCTTCACCTGGGCTACTCCTGCGGCTTGTGGTCCCTCCTTCAAATGTGGAGCATTTTCTCCCACTCGCTCGAATGCTTCCGCTTGCTCCAACGCCTCCTTTGATGTCAAATCCTCCTTTTCCAGCAACCGCTTCCTTGTCTCCACTGAGAGCAGTCCTCCGATAAAAACCATTGTGACCACCGCATCCCGGTGATTCTTGATTTCCTCGAAACTGCAACTGTTTGCGGCCTTCTGCAGCTCCTGCGTAGTATTCGTGCAGAGCTTGTCCTGGCTTCTGGACCTTCGACATGAGGCCGAAACGCTCTGCTAATATGAGCTTCTTCGGCTGGATAATGGCGTTCCATTGCCTGCCGCAAGTCCTTAAGTTCCACATCCTCCAGTTCGCGACCCTGCAGGAGTGACTCCAGCAACTCATAATTTGAGTTGCCCACCTCCTGCAGGAAAATCAGCCGTTGGTCCTTTTCTTCTGTAACCTTCCTCAATACGAGGAAGTTGTAGAAAAGCTTCCACCAGGTCCTCCACGACGTTCCCGGGACATAAGGTCCCGGGGATCGACCCCGGTATATTTCTACACCAGGGTCCACCGCCGTGGGTTTCCCGGTACTGCCTCCTGCCTCGGTCTTCACCTCCATTGCGCTTGAAATTTCGGCTTCCTCGGACTCTTCGGCCTCCTCGGGTTCTTCGGCTCCTCGACTTCTTCTTCGGTTCGTCCTGATCGCCAGTTACGGTGTCAAGAGCGAACACTAGGGTGGAATGATTTATTCATAGGAATAGCCCCTTATACACACTCTCTCACTATCATGCCATTCCTCTTGATCCCTCTTCATTCCTTCCTCTCTCACGTTCACTCATCCCCTCACAATGGTGAATTTCTATGCGCCACTTCAGAAGAATTCTATAAGCCCTACAACAATTCTAAAATTTTACTATTTATAGAGTCCCATATCTAGTCGCCTTGGCAAAACATGGGCTCACCCAACCTTTCTGTGGACCACGTCGCCCATGGTTATGATAAAGTATGGCCTATCAATTGAATACAAAAAGCTAGAAAAAAGGTAGGGATGCGCGAAAAAACTGCTTGAGATGGGTGCAGGACACATACGTCCCGCGCTGTCCGACGTGGCCTGCAAAGTGCGGGACGTATGTGTCCTGCGCTGTCGTCAACGTGTTAAGCCTGTTTGAAATGGGTTAATAAGTTTTGTTGGGGGGAGGGAGTGCCGTAAATATGTCCAAAAAACGCGAGTGCGACGGTTGACTCTGAGTCCCATCGTGGGTGAAACTTTTGTTGTGCACGAAGAAATCTAAGCGAAGAGATGGAGGTGAAACCTATTCTCATAGCTTTTCAGTCTCTACATCACGATGTTCCACGACCCTCTCCTTCCCCCTTCCAACTACACCCGAGGCCGAAAAGCTTTTAGAGTAGGGTATTTTCCGCATGGTCACATTGTTTCGACACTTCCCGAAGCAGACTGACTTCTTGCTCGAAATTCCTCGTTTTTGCCTCTCTGAAAAGTTTTAGGCGGGACTTCTGCCGTGATCACGGACCTATTCATTATCGTCGGAATTGAAAGTGAAAAAGTCCCTTCTTAGTTGTTTTTTTTTCTAGTTAGGTACTGCTCTAACTGTGAGTTAGCCCATCGAAGTGACGACGAGAGATCTGAAAAGTTTGGTTATGCGACTAGCGGAAGACTTTCTTGCCCACTTCGTCTATGACATTGTTACCTGCCTGGGGAAACCCTTAACACATTGACGACCGCTGTAGTGCGGCACTTTTTTCATATTCCCTCATCAATAGTCATTAATCCTTCAGTGTTTGCATTATCAGTAATGAGAAAATTGATTTTCGGATCCAATAATGTTTATGGACCGTTGTGGAACAGGAAAAAACGCCAAATAAACTGAGGAAGACTAGTCTGCTCCATGTGAAAGTGTGGTATGACATGATACCACACGGTCGTCAACGTGTTTAGGGAAGCTTGGCGCTGGGCTCGGACGCGGCTAAATTTGAAAGGTTTCCTGTTTCACCAAACCAATATAAGTGGACCACGGCATGCTCGTTGTTCACTTCAGTAAGCCTCATACAAAGTGAAAAAAATTCGAACGCCACTTTTGCTGGCTGGCCCTGTTCACGGTCTGCTGGTTAAAAGCTTATCTTGCCTACCTAATCTCGCCGCTGAATTGTGCTTAGCTAATCATAATCGGTGAGAGAGCGCGTCATCGGAACGGCAACGCTAGACCGCTGGGGCATAACCCTGGCCGCTAAAGGCACGCCTCTCGCGCAAGCTTGAGGGTCA